GGTGGGTGGCGTGGCTGGGTTGGTTGTGTCTAGGTTTGTGAGGGACATTATGTGAAGATATTAATGTATATTCCAATGTAATGAGGAGAGATACTATATTTAGGGGGGGGGTTAGCTAGTATAGTTGTCTATATATGAAGCCGTACCCCGAGCCACGACCGGTTTCTAACTGGGGCGAAAGCAGGATCTAATCCCCGGGAAGATATGATATATGAACACCGTCGGGGTTCATTGTCAGTATTATGCAGAGGCAACGTAGAGGGGATGAATTGTTCCTTGATGAGGAATATCCCACATGACATCATGGTCAGTGATCCTCTAAGGTGATGCCTGATTGGGATATAGATTGGAGGTGAGAGTTCGGATCGGGGATATGGTTCCATGTGGTGGCTGGCCTTTTGAACAGCTGTTGGCAGCACTATCCTATGACAGGGAATTGGAGAATTTTAACCTGGTCAGAGTCCGCCCAGACAGGGTTTGCAGATCTGGGAGTGTAAAGCCTAATTGGGTTGTTCGGATCAAGCAACGTGAGAGTATGACGGGTATCAGTACTATGCACTTCAGCCTGTCTCGGGAACATGAGGGACCTGCTATGAGTGGAAGGAAACATATGAGAGACTGAAGCTGTGATATCCTGTATTTTGTGTTGCATCGTTAAGGAGCTTGCGTTGAGAGTGACATGCGGCGCTGCCTGGAACTTCCGAGGCTTATATTCCCACCAATCAATGAAGCTTATATCAGAATGAAAACAATGAAAATGGTTCCCTGCCTACGAGGGGCTGCGTGGGTAATCCGTGGTCAGAAGTAGATAGAGGGATTGCAGATGAGAAGATCTAACTGTGTGGGTCACAGCAGCATCTATCAATGATCGACTAACATCCATTGACCCGAACGTGGGTTTATGTTTGCAGCTCAAGTCCAGCATCGTCGTATGTGACATCACAATCTGCTAATACTCCCAAGCAGTTCAGCTTCGCTGCTCAATGGCCATCGACATCTAACAGCTAATATCGTCCGGCACATTCTCACAATCAGAGCTGGTCTTCCCTCCACTGACATCTACATCCGTCCAAGTCCAGTCTGTGCAGCTGTCCGATCCGCATACAATATAGATATTCGTACCCGAGCTCTCTACACTCCCCTGCACATTGTCAAGGACAAAGTCCTCAATGGTAATGCCATCAGTCGGGGATTCGCTCGTATCGTCATAGTTCTGCTCCACCACAATACCGTAGTCGGTGATATCGGACAGGGTTATCTCCTTGTAAGTAACCTCGCTTACCGACCCAGTGTCGCCGTAGATGGTCTTGATGCGCACTCCTATACCCTGCTTAGCATGTGATCGCACCGAACAACAACCTTAATACAAAACCTACCGTTCTGAGAGCTCTTGATCTCCGAGTCGTAGAAGGTCACGTTCTTCACGGTGTTGTCACTGCGACCACCAACGGAACCGATCGACAGCCCGTGGCCACCGGAGCAGACGCCGCCCGAGAAGTAAATGTTCTGTTCCATCAGTGCCACATCCATAGATTGAAGGAGAGTATACCCACCTCGCCCGAGTTCACCGCCACACAGTCGTCTTGGTTGTATACATTTGCGCCAGTGATGGTAATATACGTGCTGTCGCCAATGTCGAACCCATCAGTGTTTGCTGCCTCGCCATCATCGCCATCCGAGTTGTCAATGGTGATGTCCTCCATCGTGAGATACGTCGACCCGTCGATGCTGAACACCTGCACGGGCGAGTTCTGGATGTAGATCCCGCTGATCGTGGACGAGGTCAGATCGTGGGCGTAGAAGAACTTGGGCTTCGTCTTGCCACCATTACTGCCCTCGCCGTCCCACCAGCGACTGCCGTCACCGTTGAGATAGGCGCCGTCGGCTCCGGTGACAGTGATGTCAGTTCCGGAGACGGAGACAAGGGGTCCACTCCATTCCTCGTAACCAAACGTGGTTTCGCCTTCGAAGATGACCTGTCCACGTTAATTGTGAGAATCGCGCGTCGAGGAACAGTAACTTACGTGAGTCCCATCACTCAGATCGGTCAAATCCAAAGTGGTACCTGAGGGCACTGCCACATCGGAGAGCACAATGGTGGAGCATGAGGTCTTCGACTTGCTGGCCGACGAGGCCCCCTCGGACCCGGAGAATGTGCACGAGGTTGCGCGCTTCTCCAGATCCTCGAGCTTAGGGGCGGGAGTCACCAGGGGATCGGCAACGGGGCTCGCACTGACCAGTGCCGCCCAGAGCGTTAGGATGATCACCGAACTAGAAGTCACCATACTGAAGACGCCGCAGATCAAAGTTTAAGACAAGCTTTTAGTTAATGTCTTGGTTCCTCTTGGAGTTTCTTGGCTGGCACTAGGTGCTCATTTTATACTCCTTGCATCTGTCATCGGGGCATCTCTGCTATCTCTGTGGTGGAATATCTCCCTGGTTCCTGTGGACGGCACTTCGCACCTCCGACGGAAGAACTGCCGTAGCGCGCGGGACAGTGTGATAGTTCCTGCAGCACTTCTGCACGCTTCTTCTCCCCACGGAGCGCCACACTATATTTCCCGTGCCTGACGCGCAATTCCTGCAGTGAACCTCATCCGGTTACCCGGGGCGTGCAGCGATGAGTGGTGGGAAATTCTGATCGGTCACTGTACCTGAGGCAGCCATCATGGCAGCATAGTGCTTGTGAGGGGTCTATTTTCCGATGGGGTCGGCAGGCGGACGCCGGGATTATCTCTGAAGAATCGATGATGATCGTGGTAGGCTTGTTGCAGAAAGAGTAGCGCCCAAGGGTGTCATCACACGGTCTCATACAAGACTGGCCATATTTTAGCTTTGGAGCATAATTGTGACCGTATCAAACTGCATTATTGGCTGACTGGGCCTATGTGTGACATGGCTGACATCTCCCTGTTATGGAGGCGACCATGGGGGTGCAGTTAGACCAGAGGCAGATGGTGTTTGGCAATCCAATCTTGGAGAACACTGGTCGTGATGAACAGACACCACAGGGGTAGCCAGACATCCCATATAACCTCAGATACTGGACACATGAAGACCTGTATGGTGATTTGGTCTCAGAAAAAGGGGTTTCACAGACATTATCTGACTCCTTCATGATTACCACGCCTTAGCAGACGCGTATGGCAATTTCAGACCTAGTTGGCCATCACTGTCGAATGTTGCCCCGTTAACAGCACATGACCTCCCTGGCCTGTTTCCTGACATCATATGGAGCCATGACTAAAACAAGCTATTCTCATTCCGTCGATCAATCAGTTAATCAATCAATGATTGATTCCCCCTTGCTGATGGCCCAAGAGAGACTGATTGATAAGGCGCGATAAGACAGCGATAAGATAGAACGATCGGCCTCTTCCGCGACCGGGACTGCCCGATGCCGATGGAGGCGTGGGGAATGCGACAGCTATTTAACCATTGTCCATGGCTCGCAATTGTGCTAGAATCCGGATCGCTTCTGAGAGATTTGCACGATGGCTGCTACAGTTCACTCACTACCTCCGCCTCCGGGCTCCGATATTGATTTCGGAGCTATTGTCGAGAATATCGACCTCGAGAACTTGACCGGTAGGATCAGCTAATTGCGATGCCATTGGAACCGCTGCTGATACTTGTTAGATGACGACTTCAGCGTCATTCGCAGAGCGCTGTACGAGAACCTCGTGGTGGTGGTGAAAAACCAACACCACCTCTCCCCGAAAGCACAATACGAGCTTACCCGTCGATTCGACCCGGCCGCCTCGCAGTACGGCCACGGAAAGACCCTTGATGCGAAACGGAGCATTCTGCATCCCGACCTTAAGACCGTTCCTCATCAGCCTCAGGTCCAGGTGATCGGCCATGGTTTCGTGGAGGCTTACGAGGGCCTCACCAATATCCAGCTGAAACACCCCCACCATCGCACATTCCACCGCGACGCTATTCCCGACGAGGAGGACTATGATTTCACCCGCTTCTACCGCTGGCACATCGATGCAGCCCTGTATGATTTTTACCCACCTAATGTCACGACTTTGTTGGCAGTGCGCGTCCCCAAGGGCCGGAGACAGACATTGCGGTATGACGACGGTTCAAACGAGACGCTGGACGTGCCTTTGGGAACGACGGCATTTGTCAGCGGCGAAAGAATGTTTGAGATGCTCTCGGACGAGGACAAGCAGTTTGCGCTTACGAGTCGCGTGGAATATGCGCCCCACCCGTATGTTTAGCTAGTCCTGCCATGATTGTGAAGTCCACTGACATGAACAGTTACATCTGGATGAGCTCCGCTCGTGCTCTTCCCACTGGTCTCGGTCTCTACTCCGAGGACAAGGAACTGCCTTTGTCTGACCTACCTCCTATCGATGAATCCAAAATCCAAGTCTTGCCCATGGTATGGAAGAACCCCTTGACGGGCAAGCCTGCCCTTCAAATCCACCCGTCTGCGGTGCGCAAAATCCACCGCAAGGATGGCACCGTGATTGATGATCTGACTCGCGTGCGAGAGATTGTGTACAAACTGCAGCGCCCAGCGATCAGCCCTCCTCATGTGTATCCGCATGACTGGGAGGAGGGCGATCTGGTGCTGTTCAACAATCGGGGAGTCATCCATTCGGTGGTTGGAGCGTTTGGCAAGGATGAAGTGCGACTGTTCCGGCAATGCAACCTGGCGGCGGGAGAGGCGCCACAGGCGTACGAGGCATGATCAATAGACTTAAATAAATCAATGATATTAATCTCATGACTCTCGAAATTGATACGTATGCTTGTGGTGGTGGTTTGGTGTTGCTCTCTTTGGGCAGGTATACGACGGCGAATGTCCTTCAACGCGCCTGCCACCAAGTAGCTCATCCCATGTATTCCGGTTATCGATCCACCCATCGAGAAGAACACGAAAGAGACCTGTTGTGAAGGTATACATGCATTGGGTATATAACTGCCTGTCTAATTACTATTAGGTATGTTCACTTTTACTTTTATGCACATCCATCGTCTATCGTCTATCATCTATCATCGCTCATCCATCCATCCTTTTTTTTTCTAGCGCGCAAGTTCCTATTATTGTTAGCTTGGTAAATAGCCTACCAGGGATGTGAACTTACACTTGCGAGCTTGCTCTTCGCGCGGATCCGACCGCCGTAGAAGACAAGGACCCACGGTACTAGGGTCAGAAGAAGGCCCTATACTAATTAGAATCACACACGGACACTACTGGATCTCAGACACAACTTACAATTCCACCAAGGAGACTCGATGCTCCAGGATATCCAAGGTTGGTGAACATGGCATTGGTGACAAGAGGGAAAACACCACCCAGCAGGTTTCGGCCTGTTCGAGTCAGCATGTTGCCTTTGATCCGGGGGTCTTGTATTAGGAGTAAGACTTACAGCACGACTGAGCTGCAATCGCAGAACTGGCATACCGGTGGTAGGTATCCGCCAGGTAGTTGAACACGGCCAGGTAGACCGCGAAGATTCCCATGGTAGCGCAGGCAATTGCCAGAGTCGGGACAATCCATGGAACAGACGAGTATGAAGTCCAGCCAAACCAAAACAGTCCGATGGGCATCAGGATGGATTCAATGCAGACAAAGTACAGTCGAGCCTCGGGTTTCTTGGGGAGAAATCCGTACTTGTTGGCGATCTTGTCTTGCAGGATACTGACGATCGTGATAATAATGGCACCAACACACATCGCTGGTGACGTTAGCAACTGGTAGGTTAAAGATAGGAAGGGCAATCATACAGGCAAAGACAGCTCCGGTCTGCTCGGTAGTGAAATGGTGATTGGTCTTGAAAACCAATGGAATGGAACCGAACTGCAGGTACAGAACAGCCCAGCTGAACGACACCCAGAGGGAGAAAAAGAAGACCACAGGTTCTGTGAAAAGCATGTCTGAAACTTACATCAGTCCTGATCCCTAAGCTGTGGAACATGGTACTTACGAAATGGACGATAGCAGGAAATGCTTATCATCTGCAAGAGAGACTCGCGCTGCTCGTCACTCTTCACTTTCCATCTGATCCGTTTGGCCTCGTTCTTCTCGCCCATGATGACTCCGAAGTGCCCAGCAGCCTCGAGCTGCTCATAGTAGTTGTTCACAGCCTTTGCTTTGCGGCTCAAGAGAACACTTCCGCGTGTCTCTTTAAAAAAGAAATAGATGACCACCACGAAGAAAGCTGACACGATGGCATGCGACCAGTAAATCCAGCGCCAGGAAGTGTGCGCTACGATCGCACTGGAGCATAAGGGCGCCAGTCCGGTTCCAAAGAGCGCGGCACCGGAGAACAAAGCCATAGGGGTATTGCGTTCCTCGGCATGGAAAATGTCGCTAATCACACCACCAACCATGGTCGAAAAGGTCGCTGTCGCCAGTTAGCTACGCATCCACGGTATGATCTTCCCCGTCTGTACATACATGCACCCACACCCTGAAACAGTCGCGCAATAATAAGTCCTGCGAAAACATGCGTGCCTCCGCAAGCAATAATGCACGCTATTCCTGTCAGCCTCCATCGTTGATCCACGGGCGCGAATCGCATACCAGTAAAAAGCACACCACTTGCGACAAAAATGGGTCGCCGACCATTAATTTCCGAAAAGGGCGCCAGAACCATCGGGGCCAGGGCAAAACCGACACAGAAAATCGTGATGCTCAAATTGTATACCACCGCACTAATCCCCCACTCGGCCGTCAGCTCCGTCGATGCTGGGTTGACCTCGCCTGCCGAATAACCAGCCAGTGCGGTCACTGCGCACGCAATCCAAGTCATCATCCACTTGCGCCATTTCGGCCAGAGGAACGGGGAGGTATATTTCTCGAGACTCGGGGGTTCGGGAGGGGGCGATTGACCGGGACCCGGGGGTGCAGTGATTAACGGTGTCGGTAAGGGTGTTTCCAGCTCGAGGTAGAGGTATTCGATCTCCTGTGCGGCGGCATCTTTTTCCTGACTGAAGATGGGGTCGATAGGGCGATCCAACTCGGGAGAGTAGACGGTATCTGCGGAGCCCGACTCACTCGGAGAAGGGGTCTCGTGAGTATGCATTCCCGCGACAGGCTGCTCTGGCTGTGAGGCTATTATTGCTCGATACAAATATTGTGTGTGCCATTACTGGCGCCGGGACAGGGCCCTTTTTAAACGATGACGATCCAGCGTTCCAGCCAGCGCGGGAGTTTAGTGCCGATGGGACCAATTTGGAGAAAGTTGATTATCAACGTCGAAGGATTGATTACTTTGATTCCACTAGAAAGATGGTAGGCTGTTAAGACCGCTGCGATCGACGGGTCGCCACGCCCTATAACCGCACTTGAAAGTATTCCCTCGGCAATGGCTCCCGAGGCTAAAGTTGAGTTTACATGCAGGACAGAGCACTATGCTTCAAGGAATCGACATGGAGTTTTCTGAATTATTGGTGTTTTTCCACGCCAGAGAAATCAGAAACTAGTCGTTTAGTGGCTGCAAGCTGACGCACTGCGACCGGGGCCCTGAACTTTTGGCGTGAAAAACCCGGCGTTCCCCACTTCCGCTTCTCCAATTTGGAGACCAAATCACATAAACATTCCCTTTCCTGACTCATCGATATGCCGTTTGCCGATGCAGAAAGTTGGGGAAGTTTGGGGAATCGGCCGAGACAGTTCTATTTCTACGTATCTTAACTGAGCCCTACCCTGGTCTTCGTCTTGTTTACTATTGTTGACGCATCCCTGCACAGGGCCACATGTTCCTCCGATTTCTTGATGGAGATCCGATTCTATTAGCTCATGGGTCCATCTTGGGCCATGTGCCGTTCGGGGAGATGCGTTACAACTCCGGACCATTCGCTCTAAAAGCTGCAGCCTGCAACTGATAGATCGATTTTGAACTTCGTGTCTCGTGGCTGATAAGGATTCGAAACAACTACGCAGAAGGTTCTCCGCAGTGTCTCGGATAACCGGTTCGACCACTCCAGCGCTTAACCCCCTCGGATAAGACAAGTCTACTCAGTACACACCTGCTATTCAACTGCGGGGTAAAGTGTCGACACATGATATCTTCCTAGCCTCTACGGCTCACTGGCCAGGTCTACCGAGAGCTGTCTGCGTTTCCTTGGGCACGAATGAGCTATGCATTGCATCCTGGCTGTGAGAAATGCCAAGGACAATGGTGCATCCCTTCACCTCCGAGGGGATGCGGTGGATGCGTCAATTAGCTTACATCCTGCAGCTCCTCCCACCGACTGTTTGCGCCCAGAGGAGTCCAGAGCATCTGACTTGGAGGGCGCTTTTCGCGGGTGTCTACCTCTCTAAAAGGGACGGGACATTCTTGGCTGTATTGTGTCTGACCTTGGTATGTGGAAAGGCTGTCGGAAATGCATCCCAAGTCCGAATTGTCTGTGCAACATGCTTTTTCTGAAACTACTGGAAAGTTACAAAAAGTAACCGCTGCGGTTGATGTCTTCATACTCCATGACCTGTAGTATCTCCGTGAACCAGATGCTATCTCATACTGCGTCTTGCTCAAGAGTCAACCCATCAGAAGAGCGAAGCATGGAAAGCAATCATTTACTGACACCCAAACGCAGCCATGAGGTACTCTAAGATTTTGTTCGGTAATATATTATTCATTTGTGAAGTAACTCACTCAAGCGTCTGTCCTGGTGATGCTTCAGGGACAGTAGCATACGCAGTACTAGTGAATATATTCTGCTGTCAGTGTAAATCAGGCTGTACCAGCCCGTTACACTTCTTGGTTGGCTCAACTTTTGTAAAAGCAATATGGACATGTAAATATGCCCGCATAATATCCGAAGACAAACTGAGTGCTCAGGTGAGTGATCCATACCCATAGCCTGTAAGGACAACCAATAGCTTCAACACGGCGATTCCTTGTATTTCTTAAACAGTTCGTACGCTATAAATTATGTTGCACTATATATGCTTCGCACAAAACCCCGCAAGACGACTAGCTACGGCCTTGCTTGGCAGCAGCTTTGCCTATATGTTACTCAAATGGAAATCGGTCGTTGCTCAGGCTGCCCATGGTTCTGTATAATATTAGCATACTAAGTGAAAAGCTACTTGAGTACTGAGTCGCCAGCACACAGAAAGCAACCTACATAATTGGCTAATTCTCACTAGGTGTGAAATGTTATGGTTCACTGACATCACGAATAGACTTCATGGTGGCGAATTCTATCCCGCGCTGTCATGATCCCACGCGGGATGCTGTAGACAATATCGAGCACCAATTCCACGTCCTGGCCAAGTCAGATTTGATAATCGATAAACGAGAACTTCATCTGGAATGTGGAATATTGTTAATAGTCGACAGCCATTATGCATTTTCTACCGTCATGAAGTCTTTGGTAGGCCTCAAGGCCGACCGAAAACCTCCCCTTTCAATATGGGGCGAATTAAAGTATCTGGGGGGGTCGAAATGAGGACATGCTAAGAAGTTAATCCTGTGGTTCCGAAAGTCTCACCATGGGTACGAGACATCCCCCACCTGAGGCAATGTGGCAGTGTCATTCTGCGATTTAGATCGTATGTGACGATGAAGATTGCGATGCATTAATTGACGGATACATTATGCGTTTCTTTCTGCATGAGAATATGTGCCAAAAGAATGTTTGAGAATTGTAGATGAGACTGGTAGAAAGGAGAAGGTAGATTGAGTGTATGCATTATGCACAAACCAAGCGCTGTCCATCACACAAATGTCTCTGCACTGAAAGACCTATGGTAATTGAGATTTCCAGTTCTAAGTGACCTGGGTAAACCGAGAAAACCCATTGTGAAATGGGCCTACGTTACTTTGGTAAATCTAGTTGTCACCGATCTTCTGCCACTCCTGCACTGCTGCTCAACCTTCCTGGGCTGGAACCATATCAAAGCTTCGCTGAAGCCAAGGAACAACGACACAAAATGGCCTATCAGGCCCTCTGAAATTTTCTGACAGGTTTGAACAGGACAAGAAGCAATAAATCTATGATCCGTCCATCCTAGATATACAGGAAATACTATGGCAGACATTTCTTCGTGATAACCTTCTACCGGGCACAGATGGAGAGATCTTGCAATCGAGAGAGCTAACAGCTTGTTGCTCTCTGCAAACAACATGTGGCTTGATGACATAGGGAGCAGAGTGGGCTCCCAGCTGTCACGTCCCGTTACCTACGTCATCACCTCCTTCCTCTCCATCGCTCTCTACAATGTCGTGGAGCTAACCTTCATCCTCTTGCTGACGTTCAAGCGCCGCAAAGGGCTCTACTTCTGGAGCTTCGTTGTGGCTACTTGGGGCATCGCCATCTACTCCATCGGATTTATCCTCAAAGACTTTAACCTTGTCGACAATGCCATCTCCTACTTCTATGTCACGCTGATCGTGGTCGGCTGGTGTGCGATGGTCACCGGCCAGTCGATGGTGTTGTACTCTCGTCTTCATCTTGTCGTGCGGCATCATATCATGCTCCGGTTCATCCTCGGAATGATCATCTGCGATGTCATCTTATTACAACTACCAACTGTTATTCTATGCTACGGCGCGAATTCCTCGACCTCTGACAGATTCGTACTACCATACGCCATATACGAACGAATCCAAGTGACGGTGTTCTTCATTCAGGAATCCATCATATCCGGCGTCTACGTATACGAGACGTTCAGATTGCTTCGCTCGGAAGATGAGGTCTTAGAAGGGTCACACCGAGAGGCTGCGCGGAGGCTGATGCTACACCTGATTCTCATGAATATCATTGTCATATTTTTGGACATCGCGATTCTGGTCCTTGAATGGGCTGGTCGGTATGCAGCGCAAACGGCAGTCAAGGGGTTCATTTACAGTGTCAAGCTGAAGCTCGAGTTCGACATCCTAAACCAACTGGTCACATTCGTGTACCACTCTCACACATCGAATTCGGGCAACTTGGATGTAGACAGTTCGTCGAGGAATCTTTGGGATATGAACCAACAAACTGAGCCCAATACTACTTCTGCCCGCCATCTTCATCCTAGGCATTGCGCTTGGGCTAGCGTGGCCAGCAGAGTGAGACGCGACTTCACTATCTCCGCTGAGAAGAAAATGTCCAAGATCATACAATATACCAGGAAGCAATCGGATTCCAGCGGATCCCCACAAGATCAGGGTTCAGTGCGTCCAACATAAGGAACTGTCTCTGGACAGTTTCAAAACGGCATTCAGACAGCTATCTTGGAACAAAAAGCGCTAGGAATATCGAATGATTTCTTGGGGGGTTCCGGTTGATTCTGGTGTTTAGTCTCACTCCGACAGGGGACTGTTCCACGAAATTGTAACAGTCGTGCAGGTGCCACTTACAAATCAGATACCTCATGACGTCCAGATGTGTTCGTCTTGATTTATGCAGACACAAGGGCGCTAAGAGAGCGCTCCTAGAAAGACCAAGCAGGTCCCGAAACCCTGCTCAAGACAAAGAAGAGCGTACCTAACGTGCCTGTGATGAGCCACATATCTCAAATACAATTTCGAATCGGGAGCTCTCAGATCATTGTCCGTGCCAACCTTTCATAACAATGACTCGGAAGCGCAGGAGAACGATCGAACACTATGTATGGGAACGGGAAGAATATATCTCGGCAGTAGCACACCACCCTCGACAAAAATAATGATTACTACACTGTTATATACTTGCTTTCCTGAACAGGCTTTGTACATTAAGCAGCAGATACCCTATACGCCCATAAATGTTACACATATACCAGGTTACACTATAGATGTTTGTTATAGTCCTATCTTGTAGTAGATGCGATAAGATCAAACCCACCCGGAGTGGCGCCCGTCCTCCCCGAGGCCGCCCGAGTAACCCAAAACGGCAAGTCTGCCTCCGGGTGTCGGCATTCTTGCCGAGGCTTGGCACTCGGTTGGGTTGCTTTGCGATTCTCAGCTGCAATGCATCATCACCACCATCACCTCGAGCTAGTTGACCTGCCTGTTGTGCAACTATTCAGCGGGCTAATCACCGGCCCAGTGATGGTGAAGCCTTCCAAGCAATATCAATGCCAGCGATGTTCCCGAACCTTTGCTCGGTTGGAACATCTCCAACGCCATGATCGGTCGCGTATGATCCCCGCCCATATTTGGAGATTCCTA